GATGACCCAGGGTCACAGCTTTATGACCCGACCCAGGTCATAGCCCCATCTGGCTCACCCGAGCCAATCCAGCTAGGGCCTGGACTGAAGGATTCAACTTCCCTCCCAAGGGGATCTGAAGTGCAAAGGCCCAGCACGTGGACACCCTCTCCTGTTAAGTGTTCTTCCTTCCTTCCTTCCTTCCTCTGCCTTGCACAATGGAGAAAGCCCCATGTCGTTAATCACCAGGGCCCACGCTGCAGGACTCCCAAGCCTTCCTTGTAAAGCCCCATGGAAAGCAAAGGTTCTGTTTGGGTCCTGATTTGCTTCAGAACCAGGCTCAGAACTTGGAAGTTGCAGACAGAAAACAAAGGAGGAGGCAAGGGCAAGGTAAACTGAATCTGTCAACATGTCACCTTGAGGATGTTCTACAGTGCAATTTCTTCCTCCCTTATCCAGAAGAGGTACTGACTTCTCCCATCTTCAGCTTCCCAATGGGACTAACCACAGGCATGGCGGGTCCTTCAGCTCCCTTAAAGCAAAAACCATGACTCTTAATCCAGCCGCAGGAGAGCATTAACGCAAGCACGCAGGCTCACCCACTCCCAGGGCCAACGTTGCTTGATGGTTATTTCTAAGTCAATAAATGGGGACCCATAACGCCCTTGCCAGGCATCTGCAGCAGCACCTTCAAACCCAACTTGAGCCTTTGCGTTTCCTCATCACACTCTGGAGAGAACTGCTAAAATTGGCTCATTCTTGTGTGGCCCTTGGAAAGTCTGTAGGCTCAGAAAGAGCAGGGGCTGGCTGGTCTGCCACGTGGCTGGTCATACACAGAATGCTTCATCAGGGTTTGGTCACCAAGTGGATGAGCCCTTGACCTCACAAGGGGAACTCTGGCTCCCGAGAGGTTAGAATCATTCTTGCCAGGAGGGAACAGTTCCAACTCTGATTTGAGCTGAGTTCTTTGCCTCAAGGGTCAGTCACAATGTCATAGAACCCCGTAGTCTGAGCTCTCAGCTCTCTTTGAAAGAATGGGACAGCCCGCTGAAATTAAAGAATGTTGGGGTGCTTAAGTAGACACCATAGATAAGCCCCTGGTGGGTCTCTGGTCTCCACCGTCCTGCCTTCTCCCGGGACCAAGCAACTTGTGCTACTTTCTTTGGGTGGTCAGAAAGAGAAGTCGCTTGAGAAATGTCCAACTTCTGTTTCATTTCCCAGCACTAATTCAATGTCCCCTGAACTGCGGGGCCACATCTACAGATGCTAAACACAGTACGAGTCCCAGGACAGATGACATAACCACTGGAAGGTATGAGGCAGGTGTGCACCAGCACTGAAGAAAGTTCCCAAATGCCCACCCTGGGTAAACACTGCAAGCCAACCACTGTGGGCAGCTGGAGTAAGAGGTCTCCAGCTCCTGCCATTCCCCCACCCCCACCCCAGTGCAGATAGATCACACATATACACAGTGTTGTAGCATGAATCTTAAAAGGTCTTATTAATAAAATCAAACCTGAAGCCAGGTATTGGGGTGAATGCTGGAAGATCAGAGAAGCAGAACAAGCCACAGCTAACCTCACCTCGCCAATTCCTCAGCTGATCCTGTTTCCTCAGACTGGAAGCCTCTGAATCCTCATCCAAATGGATCTCAGCTGAACTGCTGCTAAAAGCCTAAAAGCTTAACCATCTCTAGTTCCTAGTCTTCACACCTTATATACCTTTCTGCTTCCTGCCATCACTTCCAGGGATTAAAGGCGTGTGTCACCATGCCTGGCTGTTTCCAGTGTGGCTTTGAACTCAGAGAGATCCGGATGGATCTTTTCCTCAAGAATGTTAAGATTAAAGGTGTGTGTGCCACCATTTTCTGGCCTCTATATCTAGTGGTTGTTCTGTTCTCTGACCCCAGATAAGTTTATTAGGGTGCACAATATTTTGGGGAACACAACATCACCACACAATGTTGAACCACGGATGACAGAAGCGAAAGAATGGACCCTGGGGTTCCGTTTCCACAAAGCGCAAAACTGGGCTGTGAATGCTGAAAGGAGCATCAGGGGCTACCCAGGAGCCTCCTCCTTCCTTTGTCTGGTCACGTGGATTCTCAGTTTGTGTGAAAAGGCATATGCTCCATGCTTCCGGTATACGCACTTCATTCATAGAAAGACTGCTAAATAAGAAACGTGGAAGTTTCTTGGAAAGGGAAAAACCCTGAATGCCCAGCGAAACACGAGTTACATGCATCAACAGAGCACAGTGGTTAAGCTGCAGGCTCTCTGGGTTCCTGAGTGTGAAGCCCGACACGCTCACTTTTAGCGGTGTGACCTCAAGTCGGTGATTTAACCACTCTGTGCCTCAGTTGTTTTGCTTTGTTGTGTTCGTTACTGTCTATAAAACAGAAGAAACAGCGGCCCCTGCTTCAATGGGCTGTTTGAGGTTTAAAAGAGGGAATATCTGTAAGGAGCTTAAAACCCTACCTGGCACCATGAGTGCTAGGTGCCTATAAGCTTTTATGAATAGGAATATGATGACAGAGACACTTCTCTAGCCATACATACTAATAACGGGAAAGATGCTTTTAAAGTGCGTTAACTGACACTCACCGAGCACCTAATTACCTGTTATTAGCACTTTACTGGTATCCAGTCCTCTAAGTCTGCTCACAGCATTTTACACATGGAGACACAGAGAAGCCAAGCCACTTAGGCAGCGGTCCCCCGAGAATAAGATGCAGAACTGGGAAGTGCCAACATGTTTATGCCCTGGCTCACAGCCTGCACCCAGAGTCCTGGTGTCATATGGAAGACACATGATGCTGAGAAGGATGTTCCACCGGTGCCCATGAGCCACTGAGACTGCCCCTCCCCACAATTCCTATGGTGGTGCTCTAGAGTGGGGTGACTGGGATGCAGGGAGGAGAGGAAAGTTGCCGATCAAGTTGTTCAGAAAATCCTTGAATGTAAATGTCATGAGCTGGTAAAACTCTGTAAGAGCCCAGCTTTGGCGTTTTATTTTTGATCTTGTTTTTCTCTCCCTTTTCTCCCACACAATTCCCAGCACACCAGCCACACTGAGCAACTTGACTTGTCTACTGCCTCTAAATGGCTGGACATACGGCCAACTGTCACCAATGATTAAAGTAGGATTTCCCAGAGGTTCCAGAACTCTTTCAAAATTCAAAACCTTGGACTCTTGCAAAAAAGAAACACAGCCCATGTTCTCTTAAACACATGTATTGTGAGACTTGGCACTGGGCTGGCCTTCCTCTTTTGGTTTTTAAAGTTGTGGGCCAACAGCAGTCTTCTCTGCTTTAAACAGATCTCATTGGTTGCTGCTACCCAGCTGGGCCCCCACCACACATACACCCCTGTGTCCTGGCTAGAACTTGACACAAGCTAGAGTCATTTGAATTAAGAAAATGTCTCCACAGATTGACCCGGGAACAAGCATGTGGCACATTTCTTCATTAATGACGAATGCAGGAGGGCCCAGCTTACTACTGGCAACACCACCCCTGGGCAGATGGTCCTGGGTTCTAGACGAAAGCAAGCTGAGCAAGCCAATAGGTAGCACTTCTCTACGGTCTTTGCATCAGTACCTACCTTGAGTTTCTGAACTGACTTCCTTAAAGGATAGACCATAAGCTGTAAGATGAAATAAACCATTTCCTTTACAAGTTGCTTTTGGTCATGATGCTTCATCACAGCAATAGAGACCCTGATGAAGACATCCAGGTTATAAATTATGATGATGCATCTGCCACACAGACCTGACTAGACTCCACCATAGTGCATCCACTAGTCCAGTGCAAAATGAGACCTGGAACCCCTTTCCCAAACGTGTTGAAAACCTTCAAGCTGGTGCAACAGAAAGAAGATTAAGCCACTTGCAGGAAAGTTCCAAGCAAAGGTGCAGGGCACAGGTGCCCTAATTGGCTTTCTATTAGGAAGGGAAAGGGTTTATTTGGTTTATAGTTTCATATCATAATTCACCACGGAGGGAAGCCAAGGCAGGAACTCAAGCAGGGCAGGAACCCAGAGGCAGGAACTGAAGAAGGGGCCATAGAGGAACACTGTTTACCAGCTTGTTCCTCGTGGTTTGCTCAGCCTGCTTTCTTATACATCCCAGGACCACCTGCCCAGGGGCGGCTCCAACGATGTGGGACGATCCCTTCCACATCAATCATTAATAAAGAAAACACCCCCACAGACTTGCCTGTAAACAATATGATGGAAGCATTTTCTCAAGATTCCCTTTTCCCAGACATATCTAGGTTTATGCCAGGTTGAAGAAAAGCAACCCACACAACAGGTCACATGACCAGGAAGTCAGCCCCATGAATACACACAGGGTCTCCTGCAGAGCCCAGGACCTAGTATCTATCCAGTCAATACACTGAATGCAGAGCCTAGAACCTGTTGATTCTAATCTACAGATGAATCCAGGACCTGGTCAGTGGTCAGTCAGTCCACAGAATGCATATCTCACCATCTCCTTACCCTCTGAATGCGTGGTTTGGGCACAGGAACCTGAATGCTGTACCGTTTGTAAGGACTTATAAGCAAGAGGCGTTACCCCCTAGTCCTTGCTACGACAGCTCGCCCCCACTAGAGCGCTAGAGGGTGGGATGCACTGTTTTTCCCGGAGGAGGCAAGTGAGGCAGAGCTGCACCGTGCTAAAGGTCACACAGCTGGCAGGACATGCTTCTGCATTTCACCTCCAGAGACCAGCGCACAGAGCCTGCTACTGAGTTAGGGTGGGATGTCCTCAGGGAATCCGACTACCCCTCTGAGGCCATGGCCCATTCTTGCTCTGTGTAGCTTCCTCATCCTCTACCCACCCCCAAGAGGAACAATCCTTCAACAGAAACATCTAACCCCATTACACCACCAGCACAGTTTATGGGCCAGGTGGGAAGCCTGGCTCTGGACAGAAAGACAGCAGCGATGTGTCCTTCTTCATCCACATTCCAAGCCTGGATGGAGGGGCAGATAGCAAGAGGTGAGGCATGTCCCCTGGGGCAACCTGCAAAGCTCACTCAGTGGCATGACCACTCAGAGCAGATGTCAGATGCCGAGGCAGCCCCCACCACGCCCACGGAACCCCTTCAGTTACTGGATCATTGTGCTAGAGAAGAGGGTGAGACACTCGGGGCCCAGGACAGGAGGACCCAGACAAAATGATCATGCTTGGACACCGCAGAAAGACGTGCCTCTGTTCCTGCTCTCCTCCCGGAGGTCACAGACCTAATACGTTGTCAAGAGCTCACTGCTCACTCCAGACTCACAAAATGGACTTCTATTCATGGACACTGGCCCACCTACAGCATGCATGGAACGAGACCCCAGTGGAGGAGACAGAGATACAGAACGATGGCAGCATCCTGAAGTATGACTGAGACCATGTCTGTACATAGTAGGCTCTCAATTAATGCCTACTACAGTGAGCTCAAGTAAAATGGGAAATTCTGTTGGCGGGGGAACATTGTTCTAGCTTTGGACTTCATTGTGTCAGTGATTAACAAATTTTCCCTCCAAGGGCTAGGTAGCAAATACTCAAGTTGTGGTCTCTTCATGAAACCACCAGCCGCTACTGCTCAGTACAGAAGCAGCGGAGACAATACAGGCACTGATGGGCATTGCTAGCAACCAATAAAACTTTATTTACAAAAATCAGTGAACAGAGGTTTAGGGACCCTGATCTACCGCCTTCACACAAGCACTTACTGTGTCACAGTCTCTTTGAGTCAGGAATCCAGACACATGAGACTTAGCTAGAGTCTCTGGCTAGTAGCTCTCAGGAACTTGCAGTGAAGTGAGCAGCAGAGGCCACAGTCACCCCAAATTCAAGGTCTGGGGAGCCCATTGGGATTATAGGGATGCACCAGTCCACGCAGCTCAATAACCTACACGGGGGGAGGCCTTGGTGACTCCCATGTAGACCACCCCACACTGCTACCTGCTGTCCATGTGATCCAAAACCATGTGATCCAAAAAACAGCGCGGGAAGCCAGGAGCTCTCTCCACAACAACCCACGTGCAGAATTAACATCTCACTGCTCCACCAGAAGCCAATTCTAAGCTTTCTGTAATAAAAACAGAGAAAGAGAAACACAAGGAGTGAATAATACTTGAAAAGTAAGAGTGATCCCAGTTCTAATGTGACAGATTTATAGGGGCTGGGAGGAGGTAGCTTAGCCAGTAAAGTGCTGGGCATCCAGGCAAAGGACTGAGTGCAATCCTCAGATCCAGGCAATAAAGAGCTGGGTGTGTTAGTGCATACTTCTAATCTCCCAGCACTTGGAACATGGAGACAAGGGGATCCCTGAGTTCAGTGCCTAGCAAGCTCCTAGCCAGAGACTCTGTCTCAAAAAAAAAAAAAGAAAGAAAGAAAGAAAGAAAGAAAGAAAGAAAGAAAGAAAGAAAGAAAGAAAGAACTAAGGTGGATGGGGCCTGAGGAATGACACTCGAATACACACACACACACACACACACACACACACACACACGGCCAAACAACAGTCCCTATAATATAGACTCAAAAGCCCAATATTTAAAGGAGCCCTCACACAGCAAAGGTCGACAAGACAGCAAGAAGCCCATCTCTTTTGTTAGTTTTCAATTACCTTACAAAGAATTAAATTTCATTGTGTCATATATTTTTCTCCCCTCCACCTTCTCCCTCATCCACCCTCCCTGCCTGGTGCCCCCCCCGCCCCCCCTCAGTTGCCTCTTTCCTAGTTTAAAGTCACATGACCACCACCCCTTTTCAAGCCCAGCCTCATGTGGGCTCAGACTCAGTGATGCCAGATTGGCGTTTCAACAAGTTTAAAATGGAAAACTTGAAGGTTATTAATGTAGCTCAGTGGTAGAGTGCTTGCCTTGAGGCTCTGGGTCGGATCCCCAGCATCGTGAAAAGAAGGAAGGGAGAAAGGGAGGAAAGAAGGGAGAGAAGCTGGTTGGGAAAGAGAGGCCAAGACAGCAACAAGTGGGGAGGGGCAGGTTGAGATAGTAAGTCTCCAGATTTTAAATAAGGGCAATGGTGACAGAGAGTTACTGATCCCCTTCAGGGCTCAGCAGTCATATAGCCAGGGCTGCTGAGCCAGGGTCTATGGGGAAAGGGCCCCCAGGGAGTGAGCTGGGAACAGGAGAGAGCCACACTGTTTGGACAAGGCTATAGGATATAGCTTCCACTGGGACCTTCCCAGGCACTTGTAGTTAGAATCTCTGAAAACCTGGCCCCAAGAGTGAAGGGGACAATTATCTGGCTGCTTCTTCCTTTGTTAGCACAATGTGTCCTGCATCTGCACATGACACATGTGTGAGAGTCCTGCTGGCACAGGAATCCAGAAGATGTAGAGGGTGTCCTCAGCACAGGCCTGCCTCCACCTTGCTCAAGCAGTAACTGGAACTAGAACTGAAGGGACCAGAGTGACACACAGGTATCCACAGGGTTGACTCTCTCTGGAATAAGTCAGGTATCCTCCGCCCTCACCTTGTAGACTTCAAGCATGACCCCATGATGGCTTTGACCAATGAAATGTGAGCAGAAGGACCCTAGTTCACATCCAAGCAGAAGCATCAACAGTCAGTGCTCAAGTCACCTTTTTGTCTTGCGAGAATCCAGAGAGTGGATTGGAGTCATAGCCAAGGACATGCAGAGGGAAGATGGCCACCATTAAGATCTGAGGGCTGTCTGTTGTTGCTGCCAGCTGCAGCCCAGGCTGGCAACAACCAACTCTACCTAAAATTCCAAAACCATAGAAAATGACCACACCCGATGGGAGTGAGCCTGGGGCCATCACCACATGACCTCCATGGTAAATCAGCGGAAGTCCAACTTAACCAATGAACTGGCTTTTGAAGTTCACATGCAAGCTGCAGGCTTGGGGGAGGGAGTCTCTCCTTGATAATACAATCACATAGCCTTTAGGCAACCATCAGTAGACCAGGATACCTAGGGAGCTGGGCCTAAGGACCAAGTCCCTCTAACTGAGAGTGAGATGGCAGGGAGAGATGAGTTTGTGGAGCAGAAAGTGTAGGTCTACCTGCCTTCTTCCTCGGGGGCCTAAGGGAGTGCTGGAGTAAAGATTCAGAAAGGAGGCCTTTCGCTAAAGGGCCAGGTCTCCTAAATTCACTTTGCTCCTCCGACTGGTGATTCATTCACGTGCTTCCGTGTTCACTTCAGTGTGAGCCTATTCGCCTCTTCTGAGTTCAGCAGTGTTTCCCAATTAGCTCTCCAGGTTTAGTGAGGTCACATGCCAACTGAGGAGAGACAAGGCAAGCACTTGGAGCTCCATCTCCACCCTGGGCACATGGCACATGCCCTGCCTTTTGTTTGGAACAACACTGGACAACAAGTATAAAACGTGAGCTGCAAATGCAATTTTAAATTCTCTATAGCTACATTTGGGCTTAATTAATATTTAATTTACTTTTTGTGTGTTTTGTTTTGGTTTTGGTTTTAGAGACAAGATTTCACACTCTAGCTTCTGTTGGCTGGGAACTCACTTTATGTAGATCAGGCTGGTCTCCAACCCAGTGATCCTCCTGCCTCTGTCACGTAAGTACAGTGATTATATGCAAGCATGACTATACCCAGGCTAGCAACTGTATTTTAAACGGTAAGAAGAGGTAAAATTGTGTGTTTGAGTGTGTGTGTGTGTGTGTGTGTGTGTGTGTGTGTGTGTGTGTGTTGGCTGATGGTATAAAGTGTATGCAGTGTTAAGAATGGAGTCCACAGTCTATGCATGCTAGACATTTGCTCTATCACGAATCTGCTTTACCAGGCCAATTAATTTTAATAACACACTTTATTTAATCTAATAAATGCAAACCAGCACCACTTGGATATGTGGTCAGCCTTTTCGAGTCTAGCTCCCAGCCTTCCTTTCGGCCCTTGTCTTTGATGCTAACCATGTGTTTTGCATCTAGCTCATCTCTCAGTTTGGAGGACTGCATCTTAGGTGGCCAATACCACCTGTAGCTAGTGATCCCTCTATCATAGAAAGCAATCCTAAAATGCGCTTCCCTCAGAGGTTTTTTTTTTTTTTAACTGCTCTATCTCAGCTAAAATGTCACCAAACCCATCCTCTGCCTGTGCCCCTAAAGTCAAGGTCTTCTAGCCCCTACCACATCACCCCATCTACTGGGTTCCAGGGCTTCTGTCACTCAGGGTCCCACGCTGGAGGGCTGAAATTACAAGAAGCGGTTCTCTTATGGCTTCAGAGCAAGACAGCCCCACTCTCCTGAGGCTCTGAAAAGAAATCCTTCCTTGCCTCTTGCTGCTGTTGGCCTCCCTCAGGTGGTGGCTGCATGCATTGGTCTCCGTCTCCTTTGGGTCCCAAGCTATGTCTTCCATCTCGTTATAAAGGTACTCACCATACTGAGAAGATCCTTCCCTCTTCGAACGTGAGACAAAATGACAGCAGCCGTGTACCGTAGAGGATCCCGTCAGCTGTCATCACGCTTCCAAACAGGCTTCCTTCCTGGTGTTCCAGGAGGCTCTGGGTCGGGTAGGGCTCTATCCACGCCATCCCTGGCCTCTCGCCTTCTCTCACCTGTGTCCTCATTTGGTCGCCCCCACTGAAACATAAGGGCATTCGAGCCAGTCTGTGTACCCTCACCGCTCCACGCCCAGCGCTCGGAGCGGAGAAGGCTTCCTGCAGCTGCTTGACGCAGAGAAAGAGGGAAAGGAAGACAAGGCAGGGAGAGAGTGAGAGAATGACGGAGAAGAAACAAACTCTCCTGGAAGAGACGGAACTCATCTCCAAGATGGTTCATGAGAACCAAGACAGGCCTAAGCCACGGGGGGCATTGGGAGGGCCTGGCTCCATCATTCCTACTGGGCAGCAGCCTATCTAGATTCTCCTAGAAGCTCAAGGATCAGCCCTGCTACAACTCTGTGACCACAGCGCAAAAGGACACAACTATCCATCCCTTGGACTTCTAGAAAGCAGCCCTCAACCAATGGGAGCTCAACCTTACCCCACCCTGGGTGAGCCCCGGGAAAGCAGAGAGGGCCAGGGAAGAAAGTCAGGAAGAGGTTCTCAGCCTTGCAGCAGCTGCTCTCCATCCCTAGGTCTTCTTTTCATGAGTAGGACTGTCTACCAGAGGATCTGATCCATTTTCATGGACATCACGAGTGGCTACCAGCCCTACTACCTAGAGGTCCCTGAGAGAAGCCGATGAGCTTGGGACTGAACCACAGCGGGCTCTAGAAGATTGCACTCAGATAGGAAGGTGGTCGGGGCTGAGTGTGTGGCTTTGTGGCAAAAGGCTTGCCTAACTGGGAATGAAGGGGAGGGGCAGGAAGAGGAGAGGAAGGGGGAGAGAAAAGGAAAAGGGAAGGAAAGGGAAGAAAGGAAGGGGGAAGAAGGGAGGGGGAAGAGAGAAGTTGAGGGGGGAGGGAAGGGAAGGAAGATGGACGAGGGGTCTGAAGGACAGGTCTTGTATATTTTAGCCTTCCAGTTTGTCAAACAAACCTTGAGATCTAAATGTTTGAGTGGTCTTAAAATACCATGTAGACAATTGGATCAATGGAGAAGTCACTACTAAGATGAACCACAAAAGTAGAGGTACTAGACCATCTCCATGTGTCAGGGGGGAGTCTGGAAGCTCCAGCAGTGTGGGTGGGAATGTGGGGGGGGATGGCAAATGTTGTAAACTTCTGAAAAGTCTACGTTGTTCAGATACCCATCATTAGACCTAAAACTGTAGACCTCTCCTTCCCTCCCAAAGTGGGACCCCAGCAGGGGCACTGAAGCCTGGACACCCGCTCAGTGTTCACTCCAGCCCAGGCCAAGGACTTGGTAAAGAATGAGGAGCGTGAGGGATAGGCATCTGGGGTCCTGTTGGCTCTTCCCTTCAACCCATCCAGTGGGTAGTCTTCCCAGATCCCTGCCCCAGTTCTCAAAGACTCCAACCCTCTGGTCCCAGAGGGAACAGTTAAAAACATCAGTCCACACTTTTCCAAGTTCCCAAACCCTCAGTTTTCCAATTTTTCAAGGACTGAGTCATCCTCCTAACTTTTTGTGCAGATTAGAGGAATAGTTTCCCTGTTTCGCCTAAACCAGAACACACAGCTTGGTGGACACAGAGGGGGTGACTTCGGCACCCTCTTACCCTCTTGGAAGTCTGCTTCTCAGCAAACATCCTACACAACCATGTGTGGCCTCTCAACAGTCTGCCCACTGAAGGATGGTGAGAATTAAATGCAGTGTTGCCTAAAAACGTTGAATGAGATGATTTGGTAATAATAACTCAGCATGTTAAGTTTTGCCTTGACATGTTCGCATTTGTTTTAACAGCGCCAGCAAACCCTAAGTCAGGACAGCCCTGGAGACCCTTGATGTCATTTTAGCTCATAGGAGACCGAGAAAGAAACATTCCCTTTTCAGGCTCTCATTTCTTAGAGTCACTACTCACACCCCCAGCGTTTGTTAATACCACCGGGTGTACTTGAACCCCAAGGAGGAAGGGGCAAGGCTCAGGAGCATGGTGTGCTGCTGTTAGCCGTGTTTCTTTTCTGCCAACAGCTACTTTCCCGTCTGCAGAGGTGGTGGATGGACCAAATACTTTTCCAAAACGATGCGTTTGAGTTTTGTAAAGGACTCAATTTAAGGAAAAATCTTCAGTCCCTAACAGTAGAGTGCTGGCAGGATGCTTGAAGGTTGAGAAACCTGACCCTAGACAATGGCCGCCTTTCCACAATGCATTTCGGCTGCCTGCGGAGCCCCCGCTAGGGACTTCCCTAGTAGGAAGTAGGGGACAAGGAGGCAGGAAAATGTCCTGCGGTGGGCTGTGGGGTTTGCCCGCTAGATGTGGGCCCTGGGGCCCTGAGCTCCCAGCGAGCATAAATCTCTTCCCTTCCAGCCCCAAGCAGAGCCTGGCCTGCCTCTGCCGACTTTCACCTGTGGGCCCTGGCCCCCCACTGTGAGTGGCAGCCGCCTTGCTTGCCGACCTTGACCACATGTCCTCCCTATTCAGATTCCCTGCCGGTTTCCTTCTCACCTAACGTTCTACCGGAGGTTCTTTGTTCCTGTATCCTGCATTTGGTGTAAACAGCTTAGATGCAAAAATGTAGCAAACTTCTGCCCTCCGGGGATCCGCCATTGTGCTGTAAACCTGTATTTAAGGTTTCCTCCCTCTTTCAATAAACGGCATTTGGCTGGCATTCGGCATTCAGCCGTGGCGAATGACTCGCTGTCTCTTGTCCCTTATTTTTTAATCCACAGCCCCTCGCTCGGACATGGTGAACGGGTGGTGATGGCGCGGGCGTTATCCCTACATTCACCCTTCTCGGGGCCCTGGGCCCGTCACCCGAGCTTGGCTGCCTCTGTTGGATTACTGGGAGTCAGCCTCGTCGCCGCTGAGCCCATGTCTAGAAAAGAAGTGGGTCTCTGACAGCCAGCTGGGTCAACCTGACAGGGTCAAACGATGCCCACGCACCCCCAGGATGAAGGAGACGCGTGTGGCGCAGGGCACGCGGTGCGGCTATGTTTCATTCTAAAAGGTCACTCGAGTCGCAAACAACGTGTAGCCGTTAGAGAACACAGCCAGGCTCTCCTTCACAGGACTCTGATTGCCAGGAAAGGTTCCGAGGCCGCTGGACCTGGGGCGCGCCAGACAGTCGGGAGCGGGAGAAGCTGGTTTCCCTTCACCAGGCTTTAACCTGGGCAACGGCGCCTTGGTGGAAGGCAGAGCAGGCGGAGGGCAGGCAGGGCGCTCCTAGAGGTCATTTCTTCGTCCCCCAGTGGATAACTAGGGCCACAAGGCCGGGTGCCCACTATCGGGCTCTCTTGGGTCCACACCAACCTTGCCCACTCCGCACAGCAGAGGGAAACGCATCATTTCCATGCAACAATGCAAAAGCGCTCATTACCATATTCTCAATATGCATGAAGAAAATGTGCGACGTTGGCCGAGCCCCATCGCCCTGCTCTGGCCTCAGCATCCAATAAGGCGACATATTCATCTCCCAAGATGGATGAGAAGGGGATGCCGGGGAAGCAGCTCCACGGGCGGGGGAGGGGACAGACTCTGTAGAGGAAAGGGAGCGAGAATAAACCAGGAGAAGAGAGCCTGGGATAGACCAAGATTGAAATAGGACGGATCGGGACGAAAGAGAGGGAGGGAAAAAAAGAAGAAGAGGAAACGGAGAAAGGGAGAGGGATGAAAGATGCAAAACGGGGTTGAAAAAAATGAAATAAAAAAAAATACCCAGAAAAAAAGGAACCAAAAACAACACATAGAGAGTCAAAAAAAGAGGAAAAACATGCCCCGGAAATCAAACACACAGAAAATGCGAGGAATAGACAGGACGGAAAAAAACAAGGAGGTCAGCGGAAATGCTTGGCGCAGGTGGAAAAGGGATGATCCTGAAGAGGAAAAAAGAAATAAAACTACTGTAGCTCAGGGCCACGGTTTTCCATCCATGCTGGGATTCCGGGAGCTGCCGCGCAGATCTGGCCACTCGAAGGCCGGTGGCAGAGGGCCTGGTCCGGGAGGATCAGGAGCGCGGAGGGCCGGCTGGAGAACCTCGCGCCCATCCTGGGGAGGCCGGGCCGCTCCGCGGTGCACAAATCCGGCCTGGGGTCCACGCCGCCGCTGCTGAAGTCTTTCCGACCGGCGGCCTCTCTGGCGCGGGGAGAGAAGTTTGCAAAGTTTACCCCGAAGTTTCCCGTGGCGTCTCTGGACCCAGGGACAGCCTCCGAGGCCCTGACAGCTTACAGGGCTCAGCCAGAGTTGCACGGCAGACGTGGCGGCGCCCGGCCCGCGCCTCCTGGGATGCTCCGAGGCCAGATTCACAGTCAAATGTGAATTCCTCCCGGTGCTACGCCAGGCCACGCATCTGCAAGTCCGTGTGGCTGCTAATAGCGGAGAGAGAGAACGCGAAACCAAGAGAGGGGGAGAGAGAGAAAAGGAAAAAAAAATATTCTCAGCTCAATTTAAGTCTCATGGAAAGGGCTTACAACTGTAATTAAATCATTAAATTCTTGTCTACGCTTCACAGAGCGGAGAGAAATTAACTTCCCACCAACCTCATTTTCTATTTGAACATGAAATAATGATTTTCTGCCCGTCTAATTACAAAGCCAACATCTGATCAAGCCAGCATCCAGAGGGGATTATCGCATGCGCGAGTATTAGACCTCATTACCAGCTTGAGTGCAAAATTATTACATCTTGTAATTGGATGGTGAGATTTATATACAGATCGGCCCGGTTTCTGTAAGATTGTAATTACAAGCTTCGTTGGTTAGCTACTTATCAGAACTTTGCAGGAAAACAAAACAAATGACTGAGGAAAACGAGCGTTTCATTAACCTGTAACCCCAGCGCGGGGGGGGGGGGGGGGGGGGGGGTGAGCAGTGGGAGCGCACGCCACAGCGTCTGCAGGAAGCTGAAGGATGGCCAGCCCGCACCGCCTCTGGGGGGACTCTGGGCCTTGGGAGGAAAACACTGGCCCGGCTGGGAGACCCAGGGCTGCAGCGACTCCCCGAGATGGGGACACAAGCAGGCACTTGGGGGAGCTGAAACCAGGAGAGGGAAGAGATGGGGGTTGGTGGCTCCGAGAGTGAGTGAATTGCGCCAGCTCAGACCCCGGAACCTGGTGGATCTCTGGCCCTGCGTACACGTCGGGCACCTCTCTCAGTTGTCTTCTAGCGTGTATGCTCCTGGAGCCCTGGGCCCAGACCAGAGAGCATCCGCAGCGAGGGCCAGCCGCGCTTTGTGCGCTAGGACCGTTGGAAGAAGGAGGGGTGCTGGAGACGCTTCAGCCGGTGGCACGTTGTTGCATTCGGGTCTTTTTCCAATCAACTCCCCCGTGCACCTGCTTCTCTCTTCGCTCGCTGTGCGAGTGTGTCAATCTGACCTAATCTCCTGGATTAAAAATCCCTTGAAAAGATTCAGCTACCCGCGGATTCACGTTCTTAGTCTGGGAGCTGGGTTCCACTGGCCTGGTCCTGCTGAGGAACCAGAGCCACGTCGTGACTCCAGCCGCTGGGGATACAGAATCCCGACGTGGAGTGCAGATTTCAGGGCCTGGCCAACGCTCTTCCCAGTTGGTCATGGGGTAATGGGGAAGCTGTTTCTGCCCCCGGCCTGGGATGCCTGGAGGGATCTAATTAAGCGAGGTTCTTAGGTTCATTTCTGGGTCTAGAGGTTCACCCTCTGGGCCAGGGGCGGCCCTGGCCGGCGTGAGTCCTTCCTGAGAACAGCCTGGCTCTTCCGGTGTTCTCCCTCTCAGTCTGCAGTCCGACACAACTAGGTCGATAGCTGGTTAATGCAATGTGGAAGGAGCATCTCAAAGGCTCCTGTATGTGTGTGAGAGCGTGTGTGTGTGTGTGTGTGTGTGTGTGTGTGTGTGTGTGTGTGAGAGAGAGAGAGAGAGAGAGAGAGAGAGAGAGAGAGAGAGAGAGAGAGTTGTTGTTGTTGTGTGGTTCTATGTTCTGTTTTTCTTTTCCTTCTGAAAAAAAAAAAAACCAGAAATAAATATCCGTGTTTTCACACAGACACGTACAGCCAAGCCCCTTCACCCCTTGGAATCCAGCTCTGTTGCAAACTGATCCACCACTGTGCAGGCAGGTCTTCCTTCACAGCTGCCTAACAAGACTCACAGTTCTATGCATAGGAAAGATCTTGGGAAATAATGTCACCTCGATTCTGTAACCCTGAGACCCTTCCTGAGCAGGTGAGCCCCGGCTTCCCGAGACAGGTTTAACCAGAAACGGAATTAGGCTGGAGAAAAGCATTTAAAGGCCAGAGCTGGCCTTGCTGTGCCTCCTCTTTCGAGGCTTACCTAAAGCCAACCTCCAGCATCAGGTAAGGAAGGCCAGGAAGGGATAGAGAAGCTGTACAGATCCAGTTTAGGGGGATATTCCAGATGCTGCTATCGAAGTCTAAACTTAGGTAGCTCCCCCAACTTCTGTTTGTGCTTCCCCAGTGATCTTCTGAGTTAGCACCTCCTGGAACCTAAGGCCAGTACAAAGGCCCATGGAATGTAGCAGAAGGTGGCACATGGACTCCAGTTTTGACTGGACCAGGGCGAAAGAAATCTTCATTCCCTAACTTAACTACTCATACCAGAACCGACCAGTCCGAGACCCTCAGATCCCTCCACGCTGGCAGAATTCAAACTTGATTCCTAGATCAACCGGAGGCTCGAGAGTAGCGTTTCTGCCCCTAAGCTGGGACTCATCCTTCTACTGAGAAATCGCAGCCCGGGAGTTGTGTGGGCCGCAGACCGGCAGCAGGCCTGGCCCGCGCGTGGGTCGCTGCCACAGTCTAAATCGCTTATCTGGGAGCCACAGCTATTCCGAGAATTTCAGTGTGGCTTTCCACTGCACACCATAATCCGTGAAGGTGGGCAACTGGACACTATCATTTCAAGTCAGATTTAGGTATCTTACCATAAAACATTTAGTTACCCTACCATAAAACCAAAGTCTTGCTTCATAAAACCAAAGTCTTGCTTCCCACCCCCACATGCACACGCTCCCCGGCTGGGGGATTTTATCACCAAAAGAAAACACTGGCATTGGGCCCAGGGAACAGGAGAAGGGGCAGTGAAATGAATGGTCGCAATCGTCTAAAAACACAACACAGAAACTTCTCGAAGTGCTCTCGGAAAGTTCCCAAAGCCTCCGCTGTGAGGCTCTCAGCTCCTCCCCCACCCCATAGCCAGAGGAGCTCCAACTCTTAGCGTGTTCTGCAAGACCACCTGGGCGCCAAACTCACTTTCTAATGAGAATTCTCTCCGAGGTACCCCAGAGGTGTTAACGTGGTAAACAGCAGGGTTTCCCCGGCACAGATTCGGTATTTTAAAAGCTCGTAGGGGCAGCACGCCTTACTCCCAGGCTGCACGCTCAACTCTTTTAGCTGCCGGCTTAGGCTATTGAGATCGTCCTAGGGACCGGAGCTGAGAATTGCAAAGGGAACCACCACCGTACAGAAAAGCCCGGGGCCTGTCTAGGTCTGGGGTCCCGTCCCAACCCGGAACTACAGCTTCGGAGGGGGCTGAGAATTTTGAAGAGTTGGAAGACCCGAGGGTCGAGGTGACCCTGTACTAACCCGCCACTCCTGGTCTGGGCTCTCCCTTCCCTGTGCAAGCAGGAGGGGGGCGGGAAAGGACAGCGTCCCGTCCCGCCCCGCCCCGCCCGTCGCTCTGTATTCGCGAGGGAAGGCCGCCTCGCCCAGAAGGCTCCCGGGTGATTGGAGACTCCAGGAGGAGACGCGAGGAAAAGTCGAATAAGAGGGCGCAACGTCAGACTCGAGATTTGGGGAAGGGTGAGGGAGGGGGTGGAAGGGCGGGGACGGACACACAGACACTGACGCGGACACACACCCCCAGCACAGCATTCTAAGTGTCTACAACTTTAGATCGCCTTAGCCCAGGGCACAGAGACCGGGGAGAGGAAAGAGAGAATGAGAGAGTAAAGAGATTTTAAAAAGAGAGGAGTCAGACTAGGAAAAGTGAAGAGAGCTGAGAGGTGAGCAAAACCAACCGTGAGAAAGGGAAAGAGGAAAAAGAACCGCAGTTTCCCAGCGTCCAGGACTGCGAAGGAGCCTAGGGAGCGGAAGCGATCAGGGGGTGGGGTGGGGGACGCAGCGAGGGGAGGGGAGAGGAAAGGACAGGAGGGGAGTGTAAACTATAGGAGGGCGAAGGAAGCGAGGCGCGACACAGCTCCGGGAGAGGAGGACAGAACTGAGCGCTAAGCGCAGAGCGGCTCTCCGGCCTAGAGGAGGGAGCGCGGCGCAGAGAGGAGGGGCTTGCGGCCCCGTAGAAATGTCAATCAGAGCCCGGAGCCCGGGGAATCTCGGCCAATCTGTTCGGACCTGACCTGACTCCTCGCCTCCGCCGCCGCTGCCGCCGCCGCCGCGGAGCCGATCAATAGGCGAACGCGGAGCGCAGCGCAGCGCGGGAGGCAACGCGGCCCGGGCTCGGCCCAGCCCCCGATGCGCTCCGGAGCCAGCGTGCGGCGCTGAGCACCGCGGCCCCGGGGGCCGGGCCCCCTCTCCGTAGGTGCCCCGCGGGCCACCATGTCCTTCCCTCAGCTCGGATACCAGTACATCCGCCCGCTCTACCCACCCGAGCGCCCGGGAGCCGCAGGCGGAGGCAGCGGAGGCGGCAGCGCAGGGGGCCGGAGTGGTCCGGGCGTTGGAGCCTCAGAGCTGGCCGCCTCGGGGTCCCTATCCAATGTGCTTTCGTCCGTGTACGGGGCACCCTACGCCGCGGCCGCAGCCGCAGCTGCCGCCGCCCAGGGTTACGGCGCCTTCCTGCCCTACGCTACGGAGCTGCCCATCTTCCCACAGCTGGTAAGAGCCCGAGAAACCCGGGAAAGAAGGGGTTGGAGCTGGGGTGCAGGGCGAAGTGAGCGTGGAGAAGAAAGCCAGGGTCCCGGCGGGAGGGTGGAAGCGGCGACTGCTAGAGCTCACTCGCGCTCCTCCGCGCGTGTCCCCTTCCTTTTCCATGTGCGTACAGGGCGCTCAGTATGAGCTGAAGGACAGCCCTGGGGTCCAGCATCCGGCCACGGCCGCCGCGTTCCCGCACCCACACCCTGCCTTCTACCCCTACGGCCAATACCAGTTCGGGGACCCGTCCCGTCCCAAGAACGCCACCCGGGAGAGCACGAGCACACTCAAGGCCTGGCTCAACGAGCACCGCAAGAACCCGTACCCCACCAAGGGCGAGAAGATCATGCTGGCCATCATCACCAAGATGACCCTCACCCAGGTGTCCACCTGGTTCGCCAACGCCCGCCGGCGCCTCAAGAAGGAGAACAAGATGACGTGGGCACCCCGTAGTCGCACCGACGAGGAGGGCAATGCTTATGGGAGCGAGCGGGAGGAGGAGGACGAAGAGGAAGATGAGGAAGAGGGCAAACGCGAGCTGGAGATGGAGGAGGAGGAGCTCGCAGGGGAGGAGGAGGACACGGGGGGCGAGGGCCTGGCCGACGACGAGGAGGATGAAGAGATCGATTTGGAAAACTTAGACAGCGCCGCAGCCGGGCCAGAACTGGCCCTGGCTGGGGCAACGCACAGGAACGGCGACTTCGGCCTAGGACCCATTTCGGACTGCAAAAATAGCGACTCGGACGACAGCTCGGAAGGCTTGGAGGAGCGACCGCTGTCGGTCCTGAGCCTGGCCCCGGCGCCACCGCCTGTGGCCAGGGCTCCTCCATCTCCACCCTCTCCACCCTCGGGCCTGGACCCCTGCGCTCCCGCACCAGCGCCCTCCTCCGCCCTGCAGAAGCCCAAGATCTGGTCACTGGCCGAAACGGCCACTAGCCCGGACAACCCACGTCGCTCGCCTCCTGGAGCCGGAGGTTCTCCTCCTGGGGCAGCCGTCGCGCCCCCGACGCTGCAGCTCTCACCCGCGGCTGCCGCTGCAGCAGCCGCCGCACACAGACTCGTCTCGGCGCCGCTTGGCAAATTCCCGGCTTGGACCAACCGGCCTTTCCCAGGCCCGCCGCCTGGCCCGCGGCCGCACCCGCTGTCCATGTTGGGCTCGGCCCCACAGCACCTGCTGGGACTTCCCGGAGCCACGGGTCACCCGGCTGCCGCTGCCGCTGCTGCCGCCGCCGCCGCCTATGCTCGGCCTACGGAGCCGGAGAGTGGAACAGGTGACTGCAGGAGTGTGGGGCACAATGGGAGGGTGTTGGTGGGGCTCTCGCCTTGGCTAGAGGGAAAGAACGGGGACTTGGGGTACAAAAGGTGTTTTCCTCTTCGGCCCCTGGAGGCCTGGACCCCGAGTTCTGAAGGCCTCTTTTTTTTTTTCTTCCCCTTGTTTCCTACAGATCGCTGTAGTGCCTTGGAAATGGAGAAAAAGTTGCTCAAGACAGCTTTCCAGCCCGTGCCAAGGCGGTAAGAGACCCCGAGTTTGGGACGCAGAGTGGGAGACCCTTCAGGAGGGATGAGGAATACGCAGAGCCAATGGCAGAAACCGTTTCCTCCCCGCACCCCATCCCGGGAAGGGAGAAACGTGGCTGGGAAACTATTTCTAAAAGGCACCAAAGCCCACTCTTCCGTCACTTCTTGTGGACCCAGAGCCGCTTTTCCATTCTCAGCTCGGGCACCTCAGGCAGGGTCTGTGGGTACAGAGTGGGGAAATCTGGCTACTCCAACAGGCCTCTGGAGCACAAGGCCTCCTCTTCGTGATGCCCACCTCCTTCCAGCCCCGACCTCGAATCCTGATCTCTTCTGTCCAGCTTATAGTTAATACAACCAGGGCTAAACAACTCCATATGCCTGACCCTAGGCTCAGTAGAATGTCCCCTACCTAAGCAGCCTCCATGTCTCTAAATCCCACTTCCTTTGCTTCCGCTCTCTCTTCCAGGCCCCAGAACCACTTGGATGCTGCTCTGGTCCTATCAGCTCTCTCCTCATCTTAATTCTTTCAACAATTTTTAAATCGTTGTACTAATTGTAAAAAAAAAATAAGACAAATCGCTCTGTATAGTTATGACTTGCAAGCATGTCTGTGTATGAATACCTAAAAAAGAAACACTAAACAAACAAACAAAAAAAGAACGAAAGAAAGAAGAAATAAAGCCAGTCCCCCTTGGCTCTCCCCAAGTTGCTTCTGTACTGTCCCACATTAGATTGTGGGGTTCGTTTGTTCTGTTGATTTGGGGGAGGGGTGCAGAGAGAATAAGCGTGTCTGACTCTTTTTGTATATACAGAAAAATGTACATACGTGTGAACCAAATTGTACAAGAAAGTATCTATTTTTGGCTAAATAAATGAGCTGTTGCCACTTTTGACTATAACCGGCGGGTCTGCCACCTGGACCGATCTGTTTGATGGTTCTTTGGTGTTTTAGCGTGTCCCCCTCCCCACCCTACCCCACCCACGGTTGTTTAAAGAATCTACGGGAAAAGACAAGCATGGTCCAGGGACAGCAATGGCGGAAGTGGTCCGCACAGAGGTAGGCAGGCGAGGGCCTCTGCAAGAAGGGGCGATGGTAGTCCCTGGGCCCCCAGAGAAAGGGCCGAGACGGAGGAGAAAATGGGGTCGACTCCCTACGAGGGGCTGGGGAACTGGGTTCTGTCGGCGGGTCCACTGGAGTAGCCTTGGGGCCTTCTCTGATGACTTAGCAGAAAGACTTAGGGAAGCTTCCAGGAGCTCAGGGCGTGGGCTGGGAGGCTCTCCCTCCCTGCTCCCATTCCGACCCCGCACAACTGGTGTTTCTCAGTCGCACGCACAGGCGCTGTCCACGCTCAACTTCGGGGCCGCTCCCATCGCGCTTGCCTCTCCAGCACCTCCTTCTTTATAGGTGCAAGGGTGTAGGGGATCTGCCGGAGAAGCCGGGGTGCTCACGCTTCCCGCTTGGTGGCGTGTGACCGCGCTGGAGTTCGGAGTCCAAGGCCGTAGCCAGGCGGCATTTGGTCTCTAGGTGCTCTGAGCGTTTTACCCTGAGTGCCAGGGAAGGGGCTGCTTTCAGAGATGCCAGCATGGGTTCGGGGTCCAGTCCCCGACACCTTTGGAGCTGGAATTGCGGCTGGAGTCCACGGGGGCAGGGGTGGGGGGGGGTGGGGGGGGGACGACACTGGGAAACCTGGGGCTGGAGCTCCCTCTACAGGACGTAGAGGACGTGGGAGTCCGGCCTCTCCGGCCTCTGCAGCCAGGCCGACCTCCAGGCCCTAGCCCGACTTGACATTGCTGGCCCGGGCCTGCCCAACTTTGACTCTAGGAAGTGGAGAGTCACGCTTAGGATAGTGACGCCTTGGGGTTCGAAGTAGGGGCACCTTTGAGGCACCCTTGTCTGGAACATTAGATTTTCAGGCTAGCCGGACGCCATGCTTCGGAGTTGCAGAGCAGGGCTTGTGACCTTCGTGCGCGCTGTTGGGGAGTATGAAGAGCTAAAAGTCTGGATCAGGTACAGTTAACATTGTGTACCTTCGAGAGTCTGGGTGAGAGAGCAGCTGGCATGTACGGGTCCACGATGTGAGGACCCAGCTGCCTGCGCCAGGGCGACCTGGGACTTTCCTTATGAAGGCGGGTCCCCAGAACAGAGACATGAGGAGTGAGGCAGATCACTGGCAAAGACAAGGACCGCGGGGGAAGAGGCGTGAGATATTCGTGCAAATACCTCCTCGATCTCTTCGCTAAGGTATTTCTGAGGCTCAAGGTCCTTCACAGGTTAGGCCATGCATCTTAAGTCAGTACCCCCAGGACAAGGACCAGAGCTCTGGTTATCACCATGAGTCTCTGCACAAGGACCACACCCCTCCTCCAGCTTAGGGCTTAGCTGTGGCCCACACTGGCTGCCCATTTACTTCCTGGGGAAGCCAAGAGCAGAGAACTGACTTCCTTGGGTCCTTTCTCAGCAGCTGCCCGCCTCACAAGGTGAGTGAGGATGACAGGATGCTCTGACCATGTTCATTCTTAAGTAGGAAGGTCCAGCCATTTGTAGATGCTCAGACAAACATCCTCATTCCCAGGGGCGGGGAGGGGGGGTGGTATCTGTCTTACCCCCTCCCATCACCCCGAAGAGTGAGATTTCTTCCTCTGGGCTACTCAAAAGCTCCACTAAGGGACAGAGAAAAGTTCCCAAGGGAAAGGCGATCTTGGTAGCTACAGCAGAAGTCTTCATCTGAAAGGAGGCCCCAGGGAGAGGAGTTTCATCAATGGGAGGGAGATGGGTGTGGAGAGGCTAGTCAAGGCCTGGCGGGTCTGTCAGGAGACATAGGGCCTCTCTCCAGGGAAGCTTCTGGAACCACTCAGCTTTTCTAGCTATCTCATTCCCACATGATGGTGTTTTCTTAGGCCCGGCCTGTGTGTCTTGAAAGAACAGCAAAAGGAGGTGCCAGGGGAGTCAGACTAACCCTGGGCATGGCTCCATGCAGTGTGTATTCTAACTCCACTGATCCCAAGTTGACCTCAATAGAGTAACTTAACCAAAGCAAAATACCAGCTCCTAGGTTCCCTACAAAAGAAGAAGGGGTCCCAGGAACTCCCTCCATTCCATACTATTGATCCCTAAAATCTAGGAGGAAAATCAGAAGAGATGGTGGCAGGGGTGAGAAGCAGGGAACATCTTGTCTCCGACACCGCTTCAGTTAGAGATGAAATATGTCAGTCCCCTACTCGGAAGTGCTCTGCTATTCACTTGGTTACTCAGAGCCCTCCAAGGTGTGCGGGGATCAAGTAGGTCAGAGGTAGTGATTTCCTCAACATCTGCACATAGCTGGGTGGGGACAGTGCCTCCTGGGCCAGGGAGGCGAAGGAGAGTAAAATTACCCCCCCCCCCAGGTGACTGTCCACCTGCAATTAATGGTTCCTAATTAAACTGTCCTGGGGGCGGGATTCGGGGAGGGGGAGTGCAGTGCAATCCCAGGTGACATGGAAGAGCCAGGGGCTAGGACATGAAACACCACTCACTTGCTCTATACCAGGAGGGAAGAGGGGACAAGTCCCACCTACTAGGTGGTATTCTCTGGACACTTGGAGGACAGGGAGGCCCAAAGGCCCCTCGGTCCCTGGCCTGCCTGTTTAGGGGGAGCTAGCCAGAGAGAATGATGCCTAGGTAAGAATTGTATGCTGGATATCTTCTGGCTTGGGTTTATTGGGAGGTTTTGCAGGACTCCCTTTGAGACTGATTTCTTGTATTCGCCTAGAAACATCCACTCTTTCCTAGAATCCTTGGTTACATGTGTCCCCGTTGAGAAAAAAAAAACAGGCAACTCCAAGTCTGTGCTTGAAGCTAACCCTCGTTTGAGGGGACAAGCCTCATACTTCTTCCACCTCACTTTGAACATCTGGGAAAGGTTGGCTTTGACAGACTTAGCCAAACTTCCTTGCAAATCCATCAACAGTTAAGAATGGGCCTTAAAAACGAAGGATGGGTCTAAAGATAATTGTGGGGTAAGAAGACCCCATACACTGTCAGATAGCCTTTCTTGATCTGAACTGGCCACTGTCATCTGATCCATGCAGCTGGACCACGTTAAAAATGTCTGCCTACTGTGGGATTGTTCCCAGGAATAAGCTCAGAACCTTTGGAAGAGGAGGTCTCTGGATGAAAAACCTCCGAAGTAGGGTGCAATAGGAAAGGCCTTAGGAATAGCAGTGTAGTCCCCAGGGGTGAAGGATAGAGCTGGCACCAAAGGCTAGAGACCGGAATCAGTGCTCAGGGTCCTTTGGACACGCATGGTCCTCCACCAAGAATGAGTGAGTCCACAGCACCACCCTCAATGCTCCTCCCAGTCAAGCGGGTGAAGCCCGCTGGGTACATGGATGTGACTGAGATGCCAGGAGTGCTGAAGCTATGAGACAATGGAGATGAGGTGACAAGGTGTCTGTGGTGCTCACAGCAATTCTCTCCTCCCAGAAGCCATAGCTGGTCGAAGGAAATGTTCCGACCGAGTGCTAAGTGGACCACTTTTGTTCTTTCAAGGCTTTTGGTGTTAGAAGGAAGTGGGGATGTGAGACAGCCAACAGGAAACTAGCCTGCGTAAAAGCAAAAGGAGGTCTTAGGTCAGTTCTGGATGAGCCCCCTTCCAGCCAAGACGGCAAAGAAGGAGTCCATCCAAGGAGGACACGGGTCTAGAACACTGGGGCCTTTCTCTGGTAGATACTGATGCCAAGAGTAGGTGGTCACAGACGAAAGCTCAAGTCATAGAGTGCGGGGGCCCGTAATTACTGCTGCTCCTCAGTCACCCCTGGGTGTTCCAAGAACAACAACAAAAATGCATCCATTTAGTTAGGTGCTTAATTTGACACACACACACACACACACCCCCAGGGGGTGGAGAGAGAAAGAGAAAGAGAGGCAGGTGGGGGGAGAGAGAGAGGACCAGCGCTCATGTATGTGCGTCATGTCAGGGAGCAGGACAAAGACAAAGGCCGGGTCAAATCTGACTACTGGCCTGTAGCCTAGCCTGGCTTGGCCTGGCCATGAAGGCTGTGATGTCGTCTCTTTTGTGCCGGTGACAGCCCTGCATTCTCTCACTACACCAGGCCGCTAACAAGTGGGCCACAGCCCTCCGGGGCCTTTGGAGTGCACTCATCTGGCAACTGTGCTGCCCCCAGACGCTCAGATTTATTTTGCCAAAGTTACAGGGCAATTATGGAAATGTGCCCTTTGAAGCCAGCCTGATTTCTCTTTATTTTCTTCTCCCTGACAGAGCAGAACAGAGCTTCCCCGCCTCTCCAGGCGCTCTCTCTCTCTCTCTCTCTCTCTCTCTCTCTCTCTCTCTCTCTCTCTCTCTCTCTCTCTCTCTCTCTCTCTCTCTCTTCCTAATAATTCTTACATAGTGGGAGCTTCTAGGGGCCATGTTGCGGGAGGAAAGAAACTTCTAAGCGGCATCCAAATTGTTTATATATAAAATACCATCAATATTATTTTCATGTTAGGTTTTGTTTTTTAAGTGGGGTGCTAGTGGCTATGAAAGGACAAATGAACTGGGGTGAACAAGAGGTAGGTGCTTCTGCCTGGCTGCTGGACCCCTCTCAACCCGGCAGATGACCCCACTTGGGCAGACTGGCCTGGTCCTCTGAGGAGCCTGCTCTGTCCTTGAAATCTTAGCTCCACAAACTGTAGCAGAAGGCCTTTGTTCCTGTCCCCCACACCTGGAGAAGAAGACGTCCCCAGCCTAACTCCTATGCAGTGGCTCCAGGGTTCAGAGCTTTACAGTATTGTCAACAGGACATGGAATCTGGGGCCTCCGTGTGAAGTGACCCCGTGTGTTTCTTTCCTCCCACCCCACTGTGCTTGGCATTGGAGTGTTGAGTGAAAGTGTCTGAAGTCAGACGGTATGGATGGAATGGGTTCTGGGGAGGGCTGTGA